TAGTCACTCAGTCATGTCCGACCCCATGGACTGCAGCCCACAAGGCTCCTCCCTCCATGGGGATCCTCCAGGCAAGAATACTGGAGTGGGTTGCCATGCTGTCCTGCAGGAGATCTTCCCAACCCAAGGATGGAACCCAGATCTTCTACACTGAGGGTGGATTTTTTATCATCTGAGCCACGGGAAGCCCTAATGTATGAATAGCCTTAGCAATATATTTGTGAACTCTACATTCTTTCCTTGTACAGAGCCAGTATATGCTACATCAACATTTCTCCTTGGCATTTTTTTTCTGCCTCCAGAGGAGGAAAAGTGAAAAATAATGAGTAAAGGCAAAGTTACTTTCATACAATTATACTTTCCAGTAGACACTTTCCTCATCTCTATATAGGTTTCTTCTAAAAGTCGATAGAGTCCAAACAAACCCCTCTAGACTTCTGAAAGCAGTCTTTAGATCCCAATGCATTATCTCTTGGTCTTGGTTCAGTCTTCTGGAGTTTCCTTCCTTTCAAACTCAATACTTCCAAATGTTTCACCTCTCACAGCTATCCTTGTTTCTTTATCATCCCTCTGTTTTTGAACTCATCTCTTCTCTTTCCTGTAGACCTGTCTTGCTGATTCCTCAAGTTTAGGCTTTGAATTTTCCATTTTCTCACAAAATGATCTTTTATTTCCACCAAAGCTCATTCAGTTTCAATAATGATAACTATCCTTATAGCTGAATTATTTTTTTAAAAGCATTATCACTATAAACAAAAGATCACATATATTTATGAATACATATACATATATAATGCAGATAGATAGAGTTTATAGATAAATAAATAGTACCACTAAAAGATAGAAGTTATAGATAAAGTCAATTATTTTTAGAGAAAGAGATAAAGAGAGTTTATGTTCCAAGTAGTGAACTAAAGATATGAGATATATTAATGTATTTAATTCTCACAAAATAGACTTTGATAAACATAATCAGTGAATGAGAGCTTAAGGTTTTAAGTGATGCATCTCAAATCATAGAGCTAGTAGGATGCTCAAATTCAAACTAAAGCAGCAGGTTCTTAGGTGTTAGGGCTGGCTCCCCATTAGTATAAATGACAACACTGGGGAAAGGCCAGGCAAGGGTCCTTGATTGTACTCTGAGAAACACATTCCATCTCAGGACAGCTGATCAAACACTATGTTTCTTACTTTAAATAAAATTAACTATAATGTTTTTTCAAGCTTTCATTCCCATGGGTCCTCAAATGTTCATTCAATAGCTATTTGCTTAATGACTTTGTGCTATAATTGTTCTATGTACTGGAGATAGACAAAGAAGAAAACTTTCTTCTTTATCTAATTTTGGGATGGAAGATATAGAAAATGAACAAGTAAACCCATCAACAAATAATTTGAGCTATTATCATTTCCTATGAATGAAATTAATATCTGGACATAATAAGAGAGGGACACAATTATGTCAGGAATAAGTCTCTCTAAGATGGTCATAGTTGAGGCAGCACAGAATGAAAAGAAGGAATCTGTCAGTGGAGAGTTTTGGGATAGAGGTCCCAAAAGTTGGGATAGTGTATCCAAATCTCTAAGGAATGTAAAAAAAAACATTTGGTATGCTAGAGATATGAGTGATGTGCTGGTGTGGTTGATATATAAATAGTAAAAGTGACAATAGCAGAAAATATTGTTGCAGAGAAAGCATAAACCTCGTAACATAGAACTTCTCTTCAGTGATACGGAGTAAGAAACCATTATAGGACTTTAAACCTGGTAATGACAATCTCTAAACCCTCTGACTCTTAGATTAATATTCCCAGATAATTGTTTTATCACATTATTTTTCTCAGCTGGCTTTTATGGTCCATCAGCAATAATTAGACATCTTTTCACCTATTAAAAATTTGAGTCCTCTAGACCTGAATATATGCACATACATGTGTGTGTAAATTATATGTTTTTGTTTTCAGTTAAATTTTCTTGAACTGGCAAAATCTAGATCTAAACCTAGATCATTAAGGGATGAAGAATGTATCTTTTGCCTGCTCCTTCATCATCACCATCCTTGACCCTTTGATATTCAGAGTCAGAATAATAGTTGAGAGGCAAGAAGGATGAAAAAGAGATTGATTGATTAAAAAAAGTACATTGCTCTCATTTGTTGACTGACTGGGTGAAAAGATTTGGTGCCACGGAGAGCCTCTCTTTATTCTGTTTAGGAACATAATAAGAGGCAATGGGGGACTTCCTTGGGTGTCCTGTGGACAGGAATCCTCTTTAGAATGCAGGGGACATGGGTTCAGTCCCTGATTGGGGAACTAGGATCCCACTTGCTGCAGGGCAACTAAGCCTGTGAGATGCAACAAAGATCTCCCATCCATTATTAAGATTCAATGCAGTCAAATCAATAAACAGGCAACAGAGCACAGAGACACCAGTGTGTTGACAGTCTGCAACAAGATAATCACTGGTCTCCTAGCCCTATTGGGATCTTCCCAACCCAGGGATTGAACCCAGGTCTCTTGCATTGCAGGTGGATTCTTCACCAGTTGAGCCACAGGGGAAGCCCCTATTGCAAAAACAAAAAGCCAAATTAGAAGGTAATTCACAGGACATATTGCAATTAATGTGTGGAAGCAATAAAATGAATGCCTCATAGAGCTAAATTTGCCAATCCTCAAGAGGACAGTTTGACTCAAAGCCTGGAGCTCATGATTCCCTGAGCAATCTGGCAGTAACTCCCTCAAGAATGATTCAGTTCATACTTCTCTTGCATGAAGTCCCCAGGTCATTGCAGGCCTCTTCTTTTTAGAACCAGGCTGTGAGTTTTCTCATCTGCTGCCACCCCCTTCCTTCTCATCCACCCTAGCCAATCAGAAAACATGTCCTTCTCACTCTCCCCTTCTTCACGCATCCTTCACTTTTTGCAGACCCCCTTGATCTTCTTCCAGGGCTTCCCTGGTGGCTCAGTGGTAACGAATCTGCCTGCCAAGCAGGAGATTCAGGTTACATCACTGGGTCAGGAAGATCCCCTGGAGGAGGAAATGGCAACCAGCTCCAGCATTCTTGCCAGGAAAATCCCATAGATAGAGGAGCCAGGTTGACTACAGCCCATAGGGTCACAAAAAGTCAGAACAAATGAACACACTGCTCTTCTTGGATTGAGGCCATTATGTCTGTTCTCCTCAATTAGCATCCATGTCTAGGCTCTGCAATTTTCAATTCATTTTATGTGAATTAAGCAGATTACTTCCCCCCTCTAAATCCTACTCCTTGAGTCATTTAAAGTTCTTAGAATACTTATTGTTTACTCTTGCTACTATCATAGTAGCAATTTTTATTTTTATGTTCAAAGCTTTATATTATCTAGTCTTTCCTAATCCTCTATCTATGTCTCACTCTCTCTTCCACTTCCAGAGAGCCATTTTCATGCATGTTACCAAGCCCTGGCTGGCTAATTTTAGACTACAAGACTGAGAGGATAACAGGCAGAAAGGCCAGGGGTCTCCAAATGGAGGAAACAGGCTGAAGGGTCAGACAATTTTTCTCTCTCTCTTAATCTGCCGGAGGAAACAAACTACATTAAAAAAGAAGCACTTAAAAAAAAAAAAGGAAACAAACTGCAAGTGTTAGTTTTGTTTTTTTTTTTTTTTTCCCTTCTCTATACCAATTTGAAAAGAGGTTTCTTTCAAAATTCTGTGTTGCCATGATGACACCTGGCTCCATCTGAACTTAATTTTTCTCAAACCTTGAGCTAACCAATGTGTTTTTCTTATAGAAATTTCTTAAGCTATGTTAATGAACTGTGTACTTATCTTAGGCTCTTTCTTCAAGTCAGTTCCACTTAAGACTCAGAACCAATAAGGGCTCAACAAACCTGTATGTTTTACTCATACATTGTTCTCCTAATTGATGTTAATGAAACTATGTATTTACTTGGAAACCTGCCTTTCTTCAAGACTCATGTCAATCGTTTTATGGCCCGGGATGACTCACCTGGTGCCAATGTTGTCTCAAAATGCAGGTTGTGGGTGAGGGGTCTGGTGTCACTCTTAGTTTTCAGACATCTACTTTTTCTAACAGTTTGCTGATAGGTATACAACATTCTGCTTAAGGCTAGCAGGGAGGTACTCTTTCTGCCCCCTTCTGATTTCTATGTCAGAAGCTTTCTCTATCTCTTTTATACTTTAATAAAACTTTGTCACACAAAAGCTCTGGGTCCTGGATTGAATTCCTCTCCTCCAGAGGCCAAGAATCCCAGCATCTTTCATGGCTCAGCAACAATCTTTCAAGACTTTGTTAGTATCTTATCTCCTATGTGAAGTCTTGGTCATCCTCCTTTCCCCCCCAATTTATATACTATCCTAATTTTAATTTTATTTTAGTGTACACTACATTCAATCAGAATAAGATGCAGAATGATTTCAAGTGTATTAGCCTTGGCTTTGTAAGGACACAGTGAAATCCTTTAGAAAAGGCTATGTTGTTGTTGGTTCATGGAGATTTTTTTTTAAAATTCTCAGTCATCCCTCAACTCATCTCCTTGTCTCCAATTTAATCTCATAAGATATATGACAACTTAGTTGAGTTGAAATGTACATTAGAGTAAACTGAAATAGTAACTTGAGTCTAGATGATGAATCCCTACAAAACTTTTATTTTTTTCTGCAAACTCTCTGACATGTACCATAAAACAATCTTGTTTTTTCTCAGATACCACTTACTACTTCTGCCTTCCTGATACAGTAAGTTTTTGCCACACTGCCTTGTGGCAGTCAGTCCCCAACCACTAAAATAAACATTTCCCACCCCAGAAAACATCTTTCCCCACCTTAGCTTTCTCTCAATCATCCTGAACCCTACCAGAATGTCTGTCTTCCACTGATGAGTTCTCCACATGCTTCTTTCTCAAAGAACTCTTATTTCTTCCTATGTCTCTACCCAGCCTTCAGCTAATGAACTGTTTCTCCTTTAGCACAAGATTAAATGACGGAGAAGACACAATGTTAATTTTTGATCCCTGAATAGAATGTACTTTATTAAACAGAAGCTGGGTTCTCAAGGCCAAACCCCAGTCCCCATGGGCAGAAGGAAGGCACTGGGGACACAAAATGGTGAATTGAAAAGAGGATTCAGTGGTATTTGTGGGCAAGAGCAGTGGCAACACCAGACACCAGCTTCTGCCAGGCAGCCTGGACGTCAGGGGTGAATTCTCTGCCAAAGTGAGTAGCCAGAATAATCACAATCACGTTGCCCAGGAGCTATTGGGTGAGAGACAGAATGACAATTAAGTATGCCAAGTATAAATTTCCTAAATAATTGCAGAAAATAATGGCTTAGTATCTACACCCACTCCCAAGTCCACATCTTAAACTGTTCTGTGGGTTGTATCTACACCATAAACTCAGATGAGCTAGTCCTTCAGTTTAATTTAAATTCTATGAGCCCTCCATTCAACATTTTGTTTACCTATATCCCCTGCCTTTCTCCTATTTCACTATTTTCATTTGCCTCTCTCCCTATTTCTAATTCTTATATTAGATATAAGAATATAATAATCTTATATTAGGATTTTAAGGATGCATGGGTTCTTAGAAAGAGTTTGGTAGAGCCTTCAATCAATGCAACTATAAGCCTCCACTTAGTCACAATATTGATGGGTAATTTAACAGGAAATTGATCTAATTTTCTTTCAGACAATCTGAATAAAAAATTTTTCTCCCAAATATCTTCCTAAATGTCAATTATCAGGAAGCACATAAAATATTTCTCTTTCCTTGAGATCAGACTTCATCTGTCAAAATCCAGATTTTATTTATTCTCAAAAAAATATGCTATTCTTTTATATTCTCTGGGGTAAATACATCCAGTTTTGACAGAAGGGGTAAATACATCCAGTTTTGACAGAAGTTCCTGAAAATTTTTAAGCAAACTTAAAGCTGCTCATTGTAGCATTCTGGTGCTAGTGATAAAGAACCTGCTTACCAATGCATGAGATGTAAGGGATAAAGGTTTGATCCCTGGGTCAGGAAGATCCCCTGGAAAAAGAAATGGCAACCCATTCCTGTATTCTTTCCTGGAGAATCCCATGGACAGAGGAGCCTGGTGGACTACAGCCCATGGGGTCACAAAGAGTCTGACACAACTGAGTGACTTAGCTTGCAAGCACTGTAAGGCTGCTCTTAGATCTTTATGTCACTAGTCCTGAACCAAGGTGGTCTTGGTATGCCCACTGGAAGTCTGTCCTCCTAACACTGAGTTTGATCTATGATTTCTTAGATCTTTGCTAGTCTTTCCAATAAAACACTCAACTTCCATTATTATTCCAAAGTCAAAAGCCAAAGGGAACACATGAACACTTCCTGAACTCACCCTGAAGTTCTCAGGATCCACATGCAACTTGTCACAGTGCAACTCACTCAGCTTAGCAAAGGCACCTTTGAGGTTGTCCAAATTCTTAATAGCTTCTCCGAAGGAGGTCAGCACCTTCTTGCCATGGGCCTTGACCTTGGGGTTTCCCATTATGGCAGAGGCAGAGGACAGGTTGCCAAAGCTGTCAAAGAACCTCTGGGTCCAGGGGTAGACGACCAGGAGCCTATGAGGTGAAAACACAACAGATGGAAAATAAGCAACTTGAAAATTTTTGAAGAATTTTCTGGTCAATTTTCCAGGCTCATATTCACCATCCTCCCCCAAGAAGTCCATTTCCTACCTGCCCAGAGCCTCGCCTCCAGCCTCTTCCACATTGACTTTGGCCCACAGGCCAGTGATAGCAGCCTTCTCCTCGGCAGTAAAATGCACCATGATGTCAAGTTGTGGAGCTTACAGGTGATCACAGAAGCATCAGAAGCAAGTCTGTGCTGCTGCGGGATGCTGTGGCCTTTTATTCTTTACTGCTGAACTTCTGCCCCGTTGCTCCACCTTGTCTTAGAAGCCATTGGTCAAGGTTAGGTTGTGTCCCTCAAGGGTGGAGTCAGGTCAGCTGATGGTCAGCAAGGAAGATGCATATTGAATGTGTGATAACATGTTGGTTCCTGAGGCATCCTTCCTTTGTTAGGTCCTCATCCATCCTCAACACCATTTTCCACTCATTCCCCATTTTCCCCTCTGTTCTTCCTCTGTCATCCTCCACAATGGCATCCATCTTTCCCATTCTCCTTTTCCCAGAATGACCCATGGAGTGTAGCTAAGCATCAAACAAGGAAGAAGTTCTATTGAAAACATTTTATTATTGGTTAAGGATGGTGAGATGGTGAGAGCGTGGCAAAAACACACTCAAGATAAAAAAATAAATTGTAGACAAGAAAATCAATCAGTTCTTGCTTGCTTAAGGAGTGGATTATAGCCAAGATCTGGATTTTAATTTTCCAAGGGAGAAAAAGCAAACAAACAAAAAAACACATATGTGGTTACTTCATGAAGCTGAATGGAAAAGCAAGGGATCTACAATAAAACTGAGACCTCAATCCCAAATTAAAATATCCAGAGGTTATCCATAGAGAGAACAGGTAGAATAAGCTTCCTCCTGTGCTTCCAGGGAACTCTGTCCATTTCTCTGTGACAACAAGGGAGGAAGCTGTCTACTCTGGAGACATTGTCCTGAGTGTTCCTCCTGGTTTTCTCTACCTATTTATACCAGTGAGGCAGCTAAGTAATCTGAAATTATTTAAAACCATGACTTGTGATCACACTGAGGAATAGAGGAATTGATACGAGACACTAGGAGTTGAAATACGTTTAACGTTTATTGAATCCATCAATGATGGAGACTTCAACTTTCTCTAGCATCCTTGCTTTGTTTTGTGTTTTGATGTCCCTGTTGTCTGTACACTTCCCTAAGAACACATCGTCATGAAATAGAGTCTGCCCCTTACAACAGTTTCAGCTGCAATCCACTGTTATTTTACTGGAGTCCTGTTGATATGATGGTAAGGAATGAGGGAGGAGAAGCAGCCCATAATTGTATAATTAAAAGTCAGCCTTTAGTGCATCAGTTTTCCTGGGCTGTGACCTTCACAAGTACTTCTTAGCTCCACCCCTACCCCTTAAGAAAAATAAAGACTCCCTGGACTAAACTACCTAACCTAGGATGACACAATTCTAGGTCAAGAGAGCAGATATATTATCACTGAAGTATAAGATCAATGAAAGGACAAGAAATGTCTGGCTACTCAGACATTGTAGTGAATAAGAGTATTTTTTTTTCTATATTTGGTTTGCAATTGTACGTTAGTTTTAGGTGTTCAGCAAAGTGATTCAGTTACACAGTAAGCCCCTATATATGAACCCTCAAGTCACAAACTTTCAAAGATGTGAACATGTGTTCCATCAACTTCAGGTGAGAGTGGAATTGCAGCTTGTTCTCCATCTCCTAGTGCTGATGACCCTTCAGCTCTACCATCTCCCACCTCTTCTCCCTCCTCCAGGCAGTAACTCCTCTTGCCTATTCACTCAATGCCAGCCCCTGTATGCCAGTTATTGCACTGTACTACTATAGTTTTCAAGATAGTATACTTTAAGATTTAAAATGTTTTCTTTAATTTTTGTATTTGTTTTTTTATCTATTTGTGTAAAAAGTATTGTAAATATATTAGAGTACAGTACTATATAGCTGCTTATGTTAGTTGATTATGTTAGTTAACTGAGTGCATACTCATTCATGTCCAACTCTTTGCAATGATATGGACTGTAACCTGCCAGGTTCCTCCGTCCATGAGATTTTCCAGGCAAGAATACTGGAATGGGTTGCCATTTCCTTCTCCAGGGGATCTTCCTAACCCAGGGATTGAACCCATGTCTCTTGCATCTCCTGCATTGAAGATGGATTATTTACTGCCTGAGACATCAGGGAAGCCTTGTTATTTGGGTACCTAGGTTAACTTTGTTGGATCTAGGAACAAACCGGACTTATGGACACACTTTCAGATTGAACCTATGCATATGTAGGGGACTTAATGTTTGGGAAACAAATCCCACCTGAAGCAGACAGTATGAGTACCTGCCATGCTCCTTCCAGAGTGTGGACACCAGTCGTCTCTTAAATGCAGAATGTGGGGTTGGGCCTCCTCCTTCTCTCTCATACCCACTTCAGGTACATCCTTCTCTAGAAACAGCCTTGGGGAACAGAACTGGCTTGCCTCCAGGGATCTGGCCCATCTCTTGCCTTCTTATTACTAAATGTTGTGGAAAAGATTTTAAGAAAAGTTATAGGGTTGAAAGACAAGATGTCTGTAGCTTAGTACAAGGTTTATGAATCTACTACTTTCAGCATACAGATGTCTATTCCTCTGTAATATCTCTATGCCTGGGTATCTCTACTTCCCTGAGTCTCAGTGAAAATTTGTATCATAGTGTATATCTAATAGACACCTGTGTATCTAACATAAAAATGCTATTTCTAAAGGTATTTAAATAAAAAGGACATTTTAAAAAAAATTTCAAAATTTGATAAAGACTAGCTCTTGCCTCTTAGGGAATTTTGTAGCACTTGTACTTTGGTAAACTCTTTGCAGGATGCTAAGAAATATAAGATGCCTCTTTTTAGCAAGGTAAAGTAAAATATTTTATTTAAGTTTTCTAGCTAAATATGACATATACACTAATGCTGTAAGTCAAAGAATTTATTATCTTTAGGTGCTATTACTAAGGAGGATTATATAAATTATAAATTATAAATAGATTAAAATAGATGATTCCACTATACTTTTTCATAGTATTATCTGAGGAAAAAAAAATACTTCAGAATGTACTCTTCATCACAAATGTGTTCTTTTTTATTTTCAATTTTAAAACTGGAAATTTATGAACAGGGTTTATCAACCACTGAAGGCACAAAAAATAGTGCTTAGTATTCTTGATTAGAGAGACTATAAATTAATCTGTTTTCATTATAATCTAAATTTGTCTTTTTATAGTAGAAATAGATAGGATCAAAATTCCTATTAAGTGTTGCATTATCCTAGAATAAATTGGGTACCACTCGTAGTTGGAAATTCTAATGACTGACAGGGAGCAAGCCAATGAGTATCTTCTATTATATTAATAATTGCAATGAATGAAAAAATAGACCATAACTACTAGCAAGGCAACATTCTTACTTTGTAAGCACAGGGCCTTGCATCAGCTCCCACAAAGGCTGAAGGTGAATCTGAGCCCCAGTTGGGTCTATTCTCCCAGGGATTTCTTTATGTTTGTGGCTGACAGCACAGACATCAATGAGTTGATGGACCTCTGGGAGAACTATGATTAAGGCATAGCCAGAGATGCCTGTGTATGTTATTTAAGCAAGAAGAATCTTCACTAGGAAAAGAGAAAGCCATAACCAGCCAGTTATTACACACTTGTCTACACAATGAACTTTGAAGGTAAAGAGCTGGAATCTGGCAACTAGGAAAATCATAAACTTCTCATTTTCCCATTTTATAACTTTACTTTCTTGGCTTCATTGATGTTTTTTGACCTTATGCAAAATTGCCTTCATTTACTTTTATGATTAAATTTTTGAGAAATTCCAGAATTTTTATGTCCAATTTAAATACTATTACCTAATATATTCAATGAACTAAAGCCACTCTGAATAGTTAGAAGGAATGAGACTATCATTGGAGCCCATGGACTATAGCCTTCTAGGCTCCTCTGTCCATAATTCTCCAGGCAAGAATACTGGAGTGGGTAGCCATTCCCTTCTCCAGGGGATCTTCCCAACCCAGAAACCAAACCTGGGTCTCCTGCATTGCAGCCAGATTCTTTACCATTTGAGCCAGCAGGGAAGCATTCATTGGAGCCAGTGCTTGTTAATCTTTCTTCTCTCTACTGCACTACCGTAACTCGTTGGTCCATATCTCACGGATATTACTCAAGGCTGAAGTCAAGTAACAATTTTCAAACTTTGTTCAAATGTTATGATATATAAAATCAATATTTATATTTCTATCTAGAGTTGATTTCATATGGGATTCTTTTAGGTATAGGGCTTAGAATTCTGCGTCCTAAAAGTGGGAAATCCTTCACTTGGTGACTTTGAATTCTAAAAGATTTATGACTAATTTTTTCCCTAGTCATATTATCTTCAATATTTCAGTATTTCAATATTTCACTGAGTACTAAATCTATGGCATAGCATGTCTCTTGAATAAAAAAATCTGCACATATATGAAATGGGATAGATTTGAGATTTAGAAGCTAAGCAAGGCTTAAACGGAAGCAGTGATGACTATGGTTAGATCCCACCCATCACCAAGATCATCCACTATGAGGAACTGTGAGAAACTAGGATCGTTTGTGTTCTATGGTCTATTGAGGGCCATCAGTGATCGCTCCTCTCCCGAGTCCCTTTACATACTGTGCTGAGCCTTGCTGTCTCTTTCGTTGTCTCTGACTCTGTGAGACCCTATGGACTGTAGCCTGCCAGGCTCCTCTGTCCATGGGATTCTCCAGGCAAGAATAATGGAGTGAGTTGCCATGCCCATCTCTAGGGGATTTTCCCGACCCAGAGATAGAACCCATATCTCTTAAGTCCCCTACATTGGCAGGCGGGTTCTTTTACCTCTAGTGCCACATGGGAAGCCCCAAGCTTTGCTAATTCTAGCCCCAGAAGGGCTCTTTCTGAAACCAAATTTTCACAACTCCTATCTTACTGAGTCTGAGATGTCTCTGCGGGAAAGGAAAACTTCTTAGGTTCCTAGACCAACAAGCTACTGTAGCCCTTCTCTCTACTCCAGCCCCATTCAGGCATTAATGCCACCAATTATTTCCTGCACTTGCTTTGTTTTTTTGTTTTTCTTTCCCTTCCCTTTCTTCTTCCCCTTCTTCTTTTTCCTCCAGTAGCCCTCTCCTTCTCCTTCTATCTTATTTTCTCCTCCATCTCCTTCATCTTCTATGTGTTCACATGGTTTCTGTGACTTGAGGAGGCATTTATTTTACTTTGTTTTGTTTTCAATTAACAGAGGTAGGCAGATCCAGTGTTTTTCTCCTTCTGGGGAC